CCCCATTAAATGTTCTGAGCAGAGTTGCCTCTTGGTTACAATTTAAGGAAAAAAAAAAAGTCCTATTAAAAAATGCAACTTCAAAGATTATTATATGAAAAAATCTTCAGAGCTTATCTTGTGTTGTTCAATGTCTGGCTAGCAATGCATGAGAAGGAATAAAATGCTATATTATAATTGGCTGTGTACTTCATACATAGTAATGCATTTGTAAGAATGTACTTGGTGATTGTGGACAGCTTTTCTGAAAGACTGCTATAAATAACTTCAAAGTATTTCCCTGTATTACTATATTCTTATAATGTCCTAAGGAGCAGAAATTTGTCCAGTAAAAACACACTTTTTCTGGGTTTTAATTCGGTTTTTATTCATTTTGTCTTAAATGGACATTGATCATAATACATAAATTTTGAATGCTTAAATATAACATACTTCTTATTATTTGGCATTATTTGGTCAACAGAAAGAAAAGGGGAAAAATGAATGCAATACCCATTGTAACAAAAATTATGATCATTCTGGACTATAGTAGAGGATACATTTCTACATAAAAATGAATTCATAATAATGCCTGGGAGTTTTCTGATGTTTCTCGTCGGTGTTGTAGACTAAACTTTTCTGTTTGCATCCCGCTGCATCTGTGGGGTATGACTTGTCTCTAGAAAACCCTGGTTACTGTTTCCCAGTATACCGTACTTCTTCCTGCGTCTAGCGGCTCTTACCTACCCACAGAGAGCAAGGGTAGGTCAGGCTCATTGGTCCGTGTGTTCTAAATCATTAACAGGTTATGCACGAGCAATTCCTTGTTGGCGCTGTAGTTGTGTAGTTCATGAAATAGGTGTGCAGCACTGACAAAGTCTTGGGATGCCTCTGGAGGCTCTGGTGTTTCAGACTAGCGGGTGCAGACAGCACCAGTGCTCACAGGCAGCAGCAGCACCCCAGCAGCACTGGGAACAACACTTCACCTGAACTAGGCTGAATATGGTGCTCTGACCCAGGGACCCACACGTTAAGTCTAAAATGAAGGTTTACCAGAGACATAAGGTTGATGTTTGTGTAAGATGTGCAGTGAAGTTTTTTTTCTCATAGGTATCAGTTCCTGTGTCCATGTAAAATTAGAGAGAATGAAGCACACGCATTTTTGGAGATACATTTTGCAGCACAGAAACTATTTGGCACCTAATACGAGTATTAAGGTGAATTACACATTTTTAATTAGAAAAGCATTCCATTGTGACTAAATTGCTGGCAGGAGCAGATGACCAAAGTGCAGCTGACCATGCAAGAGTTGGTCAGCTCTCCAAACCATAACATCTGATTTGGAGTCAAATATATTTCTCAGCCAAATAGTAAAGCTTTCATCCTTCAGCCACAAACAGTGTTGAACACTGATTGTTGTTTGTGTTACATGTAGTTAAAGACACCGAAGCTAATGAAGCAACAGTCTTGCTTAACCTTACCACATAGAATGTGACTAAAACCTCCAGTACTCAATTACTGGCATAAAAAAGGTTATTACTGTTATTGTTATTAAGTCCGTTGTAGTTCTTCAGACCAAGGCATGTGGTATTTCAGTAGATTCTTATTAATAATTATGTTACTGTTTTGTCTAAAAAGTATTAAGGCCTTTAGCTGGCAATCTCAGTATTCTTGGATAGAGTACGGTTTTGTCTGTACCTCTGGAATGATATGCTAAATGAAAATACAGTAAAGCACAATTTAATTTTTTTTTTCTGTTACCTGATAAGAACTGCAATGTGTATGATGCATTTAGAGTGGAGGTGGAAAAAATATGAATTGCTCAAATGAGCAGTTTATGCTTCTTAGTAATATGCAGTTGTACTGAAAAAGCTACTAGTATTTTAAAAGCATTTACAGGCATGCTTAGGAAATGGTTCATCCTCTGATTTGAAAATAGAGAGTGCAAAACCTGTTTTATCTGCCCACCTCCAACTTTTGCACCCTTACTGCCTTTCAATTTTCAGAAACTTACTTGAGCAAGAACTGTTTATTTTAGCTAGAACTTTAAATGTATTAACTTGTTCCAATGGATATCAGTTTCTGCTTTCATTTCATTGAAATGCTGTTAGGTTGCTTTTGCTTCAGTTAGTACAGACTTTTTTTTCTATGTTCCTATGCTAATACAGTGCATCAAATTCTCAAAGATAAAATCTGATATAGCTATTCCATCACTTTAAAAATACTGAGATTTATAAGACAGTAATTTGATAGAGCTGGAATTCAGGCTGCTGAAGAACATATGTTACAATACAACATTCAGTTGCATGCATTTTATTTTATTTTTACATTTTCCATAAGACACCTGTGTCCTTCATTTAAGAAATGAATGGTGCTTATTGAATTTGTAGGTGTTCAGTGCTTTTTTTATGGAGTAAGTGGATGATGAGAATTTAAAGATACCTTCTGAATCCAGCATTGCATATAGGCTTATTTTTCACTTGGAATTTTCAGTGAGGGTCCCATTGCCAAATCATAATACCCTTGACAATACTATACGATTTATACTTTCTGCAGATTATAGTACTGTATAACCTGAGACTGGAGCACTGCCTGAAGTGAAGAACAACATTATGGCACTTCTATGCACAAAGACAGGAGTCAAGGGCTGTTTTGAGCATGGGATTTGACCTAGCGTTCTGCAAATAGTTATTATAATAACCTGATCATAAGTGTGATAGTTTTTATAATACCTTTTTAACTATACTGTCTAGCTTCTCTAACCAAAACTAAGGCCTCTTCATGTAAAATACTGCATGTACATTTTAAAAAAAACAAAACAAAACAACCTCAGTTTTCAAAGTATTTCTTATATGAACAAAGGAGTTGAGCACTGAACACCATTTAAACGACAGGGAAACTAATCTTTGGGATCCAGTAGCGGAGACTGTGTTGATGACAGGAGGGAGGTGAAAGCTTTGTGGTCAGAAGTTACTGTTGGCATCATCAGACAATGAGAATATAAAAGGTTGAAACCTTGGGTGAAGGGCATTGCGGTGATAGTTGTGATTCTGCTAATGGAATTGCATGTGGTCTTTTTGTGATGTTTTGCAGCGTATTGGAGGAGCTTTTTGAGTCTCTGAACCATGAAACTCTTTTGCAGTAGGAAAACCTTTTTTTTTTTTTTAGGGAGCAAGAAAGCCAAAAGTCTACCTGCTGCCTGCAGACGTATTAGCAGCATTAAGAACAGTTTCCAAAACCATTGAAGAGCTCTTTTTTCCCCCCTTTCATTAAATAATGTGTACATATGTTAGAAAAAATTGAATTAGAATAATGTAAGTTAAACTGGTTTTTGTGATTTTTTTTTTTAAAGTTACTTGCTTGTTATATAAAGATGAGTGAGGCTGTTTAGTTTTTTCTTTCCATCTGATAATGTTTCAGAACTTTTTTCTTTCCTTTTTTTTTTTTTAATCTAAAGCCTGCCCTTTTAGGTTTTTTGGCACAGGTAACAGAATGGTATGTGTTTGTTATTTCAGATAATAAAATCTACAATACAGTGTCTGGACTCTTGTTTAAAAAAAACAACCAACCAACCAAAAAAAAACCAAACTAAAAAACCCCCAGAAAACAGAGCTTGTTATATTACATGGCCAAAATCTTGAATCTGCTTTTTCACTTATGAAAACTCTTTTGAGCTTTGTAACTTGTCTGAACACTTGACTGCAGACACTTTCTCCAGTCCAGAACACAGAGGCTCTGTGCTTGGTGCCAGGAGAGCGATCCTGGGCCTTCTTCATATTTCCTGGCCCTGAGGGCAAGTTAGTGCAGTCTTCCTCTGTTGCCTGGTTGAATGCTAACGGAGGACTGGTCCAAAGAAAAAAAAGAAAAAAAAGAAAAAAAAAATCTAAATTCTCTGCTGCTTCTTTATTGTCAATTTTTGTTGCTTCTTGTTCATTTTTAAGATTTACAAAATATACTAATCAGAAGACTTTTTTTTTTCCTGTTCAGATGTGTTTTATAGCTCTGCTGCCTGTAATGTCTCTGGGAAGTGTGGGGATTTGCTGGAGTTTGCGGAGCACAAAATATTGTATTAAAACCACTTATTGCATGAATAGTTTCTTCACTGATATCTACATATACACATGCATACACACGTACTTATCCGTATCACTATATTGGTGAGAGTACTTCCTAGTTAAAAACCAAAAAGACAACCTACCATGTTCTGATCCAATTGAAACATCTCATAGGATATATCTGGTTACTTTAAAACTTTCACTGAAAGTTAGGCAGCTTTGCTGGTTTCACAGCCGTCTTGAGCTGCTTAGCTCCCTGGGCTCCCCAAACTGTTGGCTGCCCTGCCAGCTACTTTTCTGCTCAGCTGACTTACTAGCTGAAAAGTTGGCCAGCTTAGGTAGTGAGGGACCTCAGACCTTAGGAGATCCACATACACAGGATGCCTACTCGATAGGCTGTCAAAAACGGAACTGTATCTGGGCAACCATCAGGCTTACAAACCAGAACAACCAATGTTGGCATTTTAGATGTTTTTAAAATGAAATGTTTAAGAATAGTTAGCATTTGGAAAGGAGGAATTTGAGATTTGGATTTTGTTCCAATTTAATTTCATGTTGTAATGTACACTCTGTGTGTGGTTCTCTGACAGAAAACGTCTGTTCAAATTTCTTTTTAGGCTATGCTTTTAATTCCTTAATATAAATGTTTTGTTTTTCAATGCGTTGAATGTGCTTTTTTCCCCAGCGGTATTTACAGCAACAACATGCGTATAAAGGCAAAACTTTCATCAGGAAAATTATAGGTTAAAAAGTATAGAAAAAACATTTTACAAGATCTATAAGATTGTCATGACTAATATGGCATTTATGCAGTCGCATTCATAATAATATTTGGTGTCTTATTTGTATCATGAAAACATGCCAGATTGTCAAAGTAACTTTCAGAGTGCCTAGGTGTGTTTTATTATGATGTAACAGATAACCAGAATGCCTTTTCTCTAATATAGTATTATTTAATGTTTATAGGTAATATATGCTTTGAACACTAAAAATGATGAACATGAAGCTGCTATCCAAGCCCTTAAGGATGCTCACGAAGAAGAAATTCAACAAATTCTTGCAGAGACCAGAGAGAAGATCTTGCAGTATAAAAGTAAAGTTGCAGAAGAAATGGATCTCAAGAGAAAGATCCAGGTTTTAGAAGAGTCACTTGAAGATCATAAAAAGATGAAACATCAGGCCTTGACAGAATTTGAAGCCTATAAGGATAGAGTTGAAGATATGCAGCTTTGTGCAGAAGCTCAGCATGTCCAACGTGTAGTGACCATGTCAAGAGAAGTAGAAGAGATCAGAAAGAAATTTGAGGAAAGGCTACGAAGTTTCATACAGTTGCAAGTGCAGTATGAGAAGGACAAGCGTACAGCTCTGGAAGACTTGAGAGCTGCCCACAGGCTTGAGATTCAAGAACTTCTGAAGACTCAACAGAGTCAGAATGCTACTTTAAGTAAGGGGCAAGAAAAGCTAGAGGAATTGCACAGACTGGAGCTGGAAGACTTGAACAGTAAAGTTGAAGAGTTAAGGCTGGAAAGAAAAAAACTCATTGAGGAGTATGAAGGCAAACTCAGCAAAGCACAGTCCTTCTATGAACATGAACTTGATTCTTTGAAAAGATCTCAGCTGTTTACAGCAGAAAGTCTACATGCTTGCAAAGAAAAAGAAGTGGAGCTAAGAAAAGAATTCCAAAACCAGGAAAGTATGTTACGGAAGAACCTGGGAAAGCTGAAAACTGAATTGCAAATGGTCCAGGATGAAGCTGCCAGTCTACGGGAAAAATGCCAAAAACTTCAGGTGGCTCTTGGTACAGCAGAAAACAATGTTCAGGTGAGGCTGATGATATGTTGTTCCCAAGACTGTGAATTTTCTTTTCCTATTTATGCTGTCTTTCCGTGAGACTGGTAGGTTGAGGTGATTGGAACATGTAAACTTAATTTTATGTCATTTGTACTTGATTACCATCTACTTCTAATTTTTTTTATTTATTTTTTTTAAATTTATTTTGTGTTTAATTTTCCCAGACTGAATTAATACTACTTTATATTCCAGTAGAATCTAGAAGCCCTTACCCAGGGGAAAGTTTTGGACTCCTTCCTTTCAGCTGTTTATGAACAGAACTTGGTTGTTCTAGTCATACTACCCAAAGTGTAGTATAGTCAAAACTGTTACCACTTAAAGAACAGCAAAAAACCCCAGACCAAACCCTGTTCCCCTCCATGCACAGAAAGAAAGGGGGGAAAAAAAAAATGCAAAAAGCTGAGCAATATCTTTGCATCAGGTCTCCACATGTATTGATCCCTCCCTCCCGCCCCAAAAAAAAGGATTCAGAGAGGGAAGGAGGAGGTTGGTGACTGGTACCATTTGAGATGTTATGCTGACAGACTGAAATGCTTGCTAGAAAAGTTGAGAAACCACTTATCTAGACTTGTAGAGTTTCTTGCAGAAATGTATTTGACAGGAATGTCGTACAACTGACGCTATAAATACAATGAATATTCTGTATTCAGTGCAGTCTTGCTTGTAGAGATCACTTGTGACTACCTTGCCTAAACACGTTGGGTGTTAAGAAAAGTAGGTTTGTGGGAGGTGAGGAAAAAAGATGACTTTCTGACTTGTTTTAACTTTTTTATTATAAAATCTTCAATGACATTTTCAGAAGCGGTAACTGGACTACTGCACACATTTTCAGTGTGTACTGGTTTTGGCTGGGATAGAGTTAATGTTCTTCATAGTAGCTGGTATGGGGCTGTGTTTTGGATTTGTGCTGGAAACAGTGCTGATAACACAGGGATGTTTTGGTTACTGCTGAGCAGTGCTTACACAGAGTCAAGGCCTTTTCTGCTTCTCACACCACCCCGCCAGCAAGTAGGCTGGGGGTGCCCAAGAAGCTGGGAGGGGACACAGCTGGGACAGCTGACCCCAACTGACCAAAGGGATATTCCACACCTTATGACGTCATGCTCGGCAATAAAAGCTGGGGGAAGAAGGAGGAAGGGGGGACATTCAGAGTTATAGTGTTCTGTCTTCCCAAGTAACCATTACACGTGATGGAGCCCTGCTTTCCTGAAGATGGCTGAACACCTGCCTGCCGACGGGAAGCAGTGAATGAATTCCTTGTTTTGCTTTGCTTGCGTGCGTGGCTTTTGCTTTACTTATTAAACTACTTTATCTCAACCCACAAGTTTTCTCACTTCTACTCTTCTGATTCTCTCCCCCATCCTTCTGGGGGTTAGTGAGTGAGCGGCTGTGTAGTACTTAGCTGCTTACCAGGTTAAACCACAACACAGTGTCATTTAGATACTGAAGTTTTTTGTCCTTAAAGAAGGACAAGACATCCCAGAAATACAAAGACTGAATTTTTTTGGTCAGCAAAAAATAGAACAGGGTATGCTGGACTTGAAGGAAAAGATTCTGTGAAATTCTGCTTGGTTTTTGGTAGCTGTGCTGAGGTCTGGAGAACAGTAATCTCTGGGTAAGCTTAAGTATCGTCTTTTGCATTTGTAATTACTTTCAAGTTTCAAAGCCAGAAGTACCTTAAATGTGATGGTCGTAGTAATTAAGCATCATTGGGTAGAGCTGAGATGGGCCATGAGCTTTTCCCATTTACAGTCTAATTCCAGTCCATCTTTTGGACTATCCTTCCTTCTTGTGTAAAGGCTACAGGGTATAGTGAAAGAAGACTGCCACCTTTATCAGATGTTAAATTCAGAATACCTTTTCCCAGTTTCCCAAGGGGCCTTCCAAAAGTTCATTTCCAACTCTGTTCAGTTAACAAAGCAACACTCTTGCCTTTCAATTGACTGCACCAAGGAGGTGGGTTTCTGGCAAGCTGCAGCGAAGAGGAAACCCACTGTATGTTGATCATTCCTGCAATAAAGGAGTTCATCTTGGTTCCAAAGAAGAGGAAGAGTCTAGTACAGTATTTGCAGCACTTTTTTAAGTCAGGTCCTGCTCTGATCATCGGGTGATCAAAGGCATAATCTCACCAGTTCTGGTGTCTGTGTTTCATTACACGTCCTGTCCAGTGTTTTCCCCAATTCTATTTCCTGCTTTAGTTTCTGAAATGACTCTACTATTCCAGTGACTTGAATGATGAGAAATCTAGCTTTCCTTTCAAAACAGAACAAGATTTCCTTTTCCTTCCTGCATGGCTGAGACCACATCATCATCACACTACCCAAGATATGCTATTGTGAATCAGTACATCTGACTTAAAACATACTAAAAGTTTAATTTAACTAATTCCCTACCTCTCATGTTACGTATATCCATGTGCAGCTTAATCTGTGTCAGGGCTGAACACTGACAGTTGCAATGAAGGACACTGTGAACTGCCGTGAACATATAATGTATTCTTCAATGTGAAGAACTCTCAGATACCAGAAACCAGGTTTCTCAAATTGGCCCCCAAACTCTGTGGACCATTTTACCATTTTTATTTTTCATTTACCTTTTTGAATATTGTCACATTTCTCTTATGCATCCTTGTCATGCCATATATCCAGTATCTTGTAGTGCTTCAACACATAATACAAAATGAATGTGATGGTAATATTACAAGATTTCAGCTTTTGTATAAATAAAACTTGTTTGCTGAAGGGTCTTTTCTGTACATTTTAACCTAATGCTCATTTAAATTTAAACGTGATTGTATATAATAACAGGCATTATACTGTTCTTCCTCTAGGTTCTTCAAAAGCAGCTAGATGATGTGAAGGAGGAGGAGATGTCATTGTTAAGCAAACACAAAGAAGTGGAAAGTGAGCTAGCCGCTGCTAGAGAGCGCTTACAGCAGCAGGCTACTGATCTTGTTCTCAAAGCCAGTATGTATGTCAGTAACTTAATCTGAAATGAACTTAATCTATTTATTCTAGCCTTTCCTTTTTCTGTTAACCTTGTGCAGGTTTAGAGTGCCCAAAGACTGTTCAATGCTGTCCACAGATGTTTCTGACAAGTTTTGGGGTTTTTAAACTGTTTTGATGTCACATGCATCGTACCTATGTTTCTTTTTCTGTGTACTTATTTGTCCAAATGTTCTACTTTGTATGGCAGGTACGCATCTTCCAGGCCTCGGAATTTCTTGCCGTAACTGCACTTGTACAGAATGCTTCTGCTCTGTATCTGTTCTCCACATAATCACTGAGACATGCTTCCTGTTTCTCCATCATTTTTCAGTTGCCTTGTCTTTTTGCTGAGACTGTGGTACTTTGCTTTACACCTACTGTCAGAAGGCTTGCAGCTTATCAGTTAATAAATCTGTTAGGGTTTTCTTTATAACTGTTTTCTTGAGTTCTGTGTGCTCATTGGCATATGGAAAGGCATAGAAAATGGTTTAAGATTTGCCTGTACGCATGTGGGCTTTAACTTACTGGCATTGTTTCTCTAGTAAACTGCTTAGTGGTAGGGCATAGGCCTGGGCCCAAATGCTTGAACTTGGTTAACTATACTGTAGGTAGGATTGTAGGCTAAAAATAAGCCCCCGGCTTGTCTTTGGCCTTGTTCAACTAGACCAATCGTAGAAATACCTGATTATTTTCCACACAAGTTAGCACAAGCCCAGGGGCCCTTCCCAAAAGTCGGTTTGGATAAGATCACGTTGTTTTGAAGGCTGGGATGTTGCCAGGCTGTGCCAGTTGGCCTTAGGGACAGAAAATACTTCACAGCATTAACTTGCTAATGCTGTAATTGTTTACTATTTATATTATACACTATATTTACTATTACTGTAATAGCTTACTATTAGCTGGCTACATGTGGCCTAGCCCTCATCTGTGTATGTGACTGTGGCCTGTATCAAGGCTTTATTTCTGTTCTTCAAATAATGAAGCAGTTCCTGCAGATGGACTGAGTGTGTCTGCTGCCTAGGAGAACTTCATGCCTAGGACAAGTGACATAGATGAGCTAGCTAAGGTAAGGGCTAGGAATAGACTGGGCTATATGTTTGGACAACGTACAGGCCAGCTGGGACCCGAGACTGGAAGGTCCTACTGGATGTAAATAGCTAAAAGGAATGGGCTTCCTGCTAAGAAGATCTCAAATGGGAATCTGACCCTCCAAAAAGTGATGTGTGAGGCACTCATAGAAAAATTCATGACCTGAGACTGCTGGAGAAAGAAAACCTGTTCTCATATACTCTTTGGCCATTCCTGTTTTCTTTCCTTAGGCAGAAGCATGGCAGAAGTTCAGCAGCCAGCCCCAAATTTACTGGACACAAATTTCCAGGCTATTTTTCCTTATTACTGATGGCAGTGAGTCATCTAGACCATGAGTCCAGCACTGGTCTCCTCTGGTGCTGAGGTTTTTAGCTTGACCAGAAATTGCAGCGTGTCCACGCTGTTGCTGAGTTCAGTGGCACTGGCAATAGTACATCTTTGCTTTACAGCACCTTGCTGTGCAAAGAGAACCAGGAGCCCTGGTTACAGTCGTGTCACCAAGCCATTAGCGTGTCATATAATTGATTACCAGCCTGTTTGGAAATAGTTTCCAACGCTGGCCCGCTGCCATCTCCTTTGATTTTTTAGCTCACACTTGGAAGTCAAAAATCCTGCCCCAAAGAAACTAAATTCTCATACTTAATTACCATTCAAAATATTTACTCATTGTATTGCAATTTGAGTGTATTAAGCCTATTATGGGAAATTAATATATTCTTCTTCCATTTATCCTGAGATTCTAAACTTGAAAGGAAACTGCTGCGTTTCATACCTTCTGTGTAGAGCACGAGGAATGGGAAACCTCTATTGTGTGTCAGTATTGCTAGGACAAAAGCTCTAGATCAGTGTGTGTGTGCGCTTACAATAAAATATGCGTGGGCATAATACTTCCTGACAAACTGGAAATTCTTGTACGATTATTCTCCTTGTTAGATTCTGAAATCTCGGTTTGCAAATACATTTCTTAAATGGCTGAACTTTTGCGACAAGGTAGTTTTTGAAATGTTACAGAAGTTAAGCGTACTTGTTCTCTTCAGTTTTTAGTTTTATCACACAAAAATGCTAAAATGATTCTTAGAATTCTTCAGGGCTTAGTACAATTAGAGATGTGCATTGTTTATAAAAATAGTACTAATTTTGAAGCATTTTTTGTGGCCAAATTCTATTCCATATCTTACTGTCCTTCCCTTCACATCAGTGTCCACAGACAAGAAAGGCTAAAACAGTTTCCTTTCTGACACATCTCGTTTTAACCGCAGATGGAAATGAATTGGGAGGCTCAGTGGTTTTGCCTTGTGAGAAACAGTGACACACAGTCCACTTTCTTAGTTATTTCTTAGTAACTTAAATTTAAAAGCAATACTCTGTTATTAAAACTCAACTAATCTGTCATTTTTTTAAGGTTATAATAAAATGGGGGGGGAGGTCTCTCCTAGAAGTTGTGACTACAAAAATAATAAAAAAATTTATTCTGAGTAAATAATACATTTTCTTACCTGGATGCTTTCTTTATGTGAAACTGTTAAGGGTCTCTGTGTAATCCTTAAAGTCTGTTTTACCACTTCATTTTATCATATGCTGATTTTTAAAAGGCATATTTCAAACATGTCTAGGTCATGCAATTTATGAAAGGGATAATAAGGTGTTTCTGTCAAAAGAATCCATTCCAACATGGAATGTCAGCTTAGGTATGACTTCATGATGCTTCTACAAAGATGTTAAAATAATGGGAGAATATCCCCTCTCTTGTCTTTCAATTGAACAAACCTAGGAGCATCCTCTTTTCCAAAATGGTCTTCTATCCCCTCCTAAGCCTTTCCCAGAATAACAACAGTTTCACTGCTTTAATCAGTACCTGGTAGTAGTATTTTCAATAATACAGATATAAACTAAGAAGAACAAGGACAAAAATTTTGAAGTTATAAACCTTTTTCCACTGGTGATGTGAAGGACAGATGATTATACTGTCTAGCTTTGTAGATTTTTTTTTTTTTTTAATATATATAAAGATTAAAAGCAAGCCCCTAACCTGCAAGGATTTAGATCATACTTTACTATGGAGAGAATGAGTTCTGTTACATTCTTTAGTCATATCCCTATAGCAAACTAAAAAAAGTGTAATTCCTTAAGTTTTACATAGCTTTAGCTGCTATACCTAGCATGCTGGTTAAATTATGAGTTTGATAAAACAGTAACATCTTTACCATTAGACTTCAATGTTCTGCTTTCTGTTGTGTAGCTTATCGTGGGATTTTTAGGTGGGGTAAGTTCTTCAAGATAGACTGTCCGTGTTAATACTATTGCCTACCTCTGCTTTCTCTTGGAGTTAATATGCAACTTCGAACCAGGAAAATTGAAACTAAAGGAGCCGCAGAACCAAATGCTCCACTGTTGTTGGACATTTTACAATAAAACTAAAAAAGGGAGAAGTGGAGGTGAAGGTAAGCATTGCAGTGAAGATAATGGAGATCCATGTGAAAGCTTCCATAGAGCTGTAGTTCTAGAAATCACTGAAGTATCAATGTGTACTTTGATTACATGAAACCAGTGCTGTGAGGTTTTAAAGATCTGTTTTGTTTTTAGGCCACATTGGAATGCTTCAAGCTACTCAAATGACTCAAGAAGTTACAATCAGAGATTTGGAATCAGAAAAGTCTAGATTAAAAGAAAAATTATCCCAACTGGAAGAGGAAAGAAACTTACTACAAAGTAAAACACAGAGTCTGGATGAGCGACAAAGGCAGCAAATTCTGGCCTTGGAGAAGGTTAAACAGCTTATTGGCTTTAGTTGGATAAAAACAAAAGACCTAGAATTCTAAGAAAAAATGATCTTTTTTTTTTTAATTTTTGTTTGATGTGACTGGACTAGGACCAGTAGTAGTATGTTCCAAGTGTATCTCGTGTAGCAACGTAGAATGACTAATGTAGAGTGTAAAGTGAGAGTAGAGGGAAGTCAGATTAGATGTGACTGCTTTGGACATCTTTTAACAATTTTATTTAATTTATGACTTCGTGTGTAGATGCCTAGTATCTAAAGTGTCTCAGTAAGGAGAAATGTGAAATGGTTAATGAACAATTAAAAAAGCCAATCTCTGCAAATGTGCTGAACGTGTTTGAAACTACTGAACTGAAATTTTTTATAGGCTTGATACCCTGTTGCTGTTTCCCCAGATTAAATAGAGCAAAAAATAGATTTTAATATAGATACATTGTTTTGCATCGTTATATTGAAACTACCTTTTTGGTTATTGAATTATTTGGTCCGTGCTTAGTGTTTGCTGAATTTGTTTTATATGGAAGTTAATTTCTGTAGATTTATTTCATCAGTTATGTTTTTGTATTTTTTTCCTCTTTTCAGATTTTTTTTTTAACCGTTTAATAGAAATTATTGCATTTGTCTTTTATAGAAAGTAAATGAAGCAAGGGAGACACAGCGTGAATATTATGAGAAGGAGCTGGTAAAATTGCAAGCAAGATTGGAAGGAGAGGCTGCACAGTTAAAGGAGGCTCATTCCAAGACCTTAGAAGAATTGGCATGGAAACACCATACTGCAATTGAGGCTGCGCACAGTAATGCTAATAAGGATAAGAAAAAACTGCAGATGGTAGGTTTGTGTTTTCTTAATAATCAAACATACTACAAAAAGCAAAAGTTAGAGTTTGAACCTTGTACTGCATGATTTTGTTGTATGGCAAGTTTTATTTGGAGTTACCTGCAGATCTGCTGTGCCTCTCTGAAGAAACTGCGTAGCCTTTGTTAAAAGAATATGTATCTTGGAAAAAAAAAAAAAAGAGCATGTGTACTGTGATTTGTCTGGACACAGAAGAGAAATTCTCAACTCAATACAACTTTTTTTTCGAGTATAGTAGGTGTGTTTTTCCAGGTTTTGTGACCCATACTCAGTTTGGTATTTCACTCAAGATCAGTTCTTCTGAAGGAGGTGAAAGATTATGTTACTCTAATATTTATTTAAAATTTTCATAAACAGTCCAGAAGTAAAAAAATATATTAGTACTTGACTATATGCATACTCAGTAGACGACAACAGCTGTTCCTAACTTAGATCATAAAATTATGCTAACTGTATATCGACTATGCATTTACCTTTGATTGGAATCCTGAAACTGAAAGGCTTTCTTGTTTCACAAAATTGGCCTTTTCTTTGTTGGGATAAATGAGAGGACCAATTTTGAATTATTATTTCCCAATCTGATTGTATGTCCATTATACACAAATTTTGCCTTATACAGTAAATACGGGATAAATATTAATTATTTAATTTAGGGCTTTGTTATGCTCCTCTGGTGTGTTCACAGGAAATATACCAAGAAGCACAGTTGTAGTTAGTCTTGTGACATCTTAGACTGATTTTTTGGGAAATTATTTTACTGATGTGTTGCTTCTTAGCTTTATTTGAATAAACCCCAAAGATTTTTTTTTCATGTCTCCCAGTAATGGAAGTAGTTCTCTGAGACATACATGCATCTGATCTTTCAGGTTTACTTTCTTTGTAACTTTAAACATGCCTGTTATTAATACAATGTCTCTTAAGGGTTTCTGGGATTACTTTTCTTTTACTTCAGTAAGATGTGATGTTCTTTTTTTTGTTTTGTTTTCTTTTGTTATTAAAACAATGTAGAGAAAAAAACAAAGGATATCATAAAATGTTTGTCCTTAAATCATTAAATTAGTTAAAATAGGGAACACCTCTATAAATGTGAGAAATGTGAAACTTGGTTTTAGCAAGGGAAAAATAACTATGAAAAGGTGTCAGGGTCAAGATCTCGGTAAATCTTAATCAGCGTACTGTCTCCTCTGTCAAACCTGTCTCACTAAGCACATGTGTTGCTTGAGTAATTCAAGGAAGAAACAGTCAGTCTCAAATGCGGAGAAGCGTTGAATTTAATTGGAGGAAGAAGCATGGTACCAGGAGCCTTGGGATAGAGGACATGAAGATTTATTGGGACTGGAAGACTGGGAAAGGCATCTGGGGTTTGGAAGTCTTTTGGAAAAAAATGGAACAGAAGAGAATTCTGAAGAGTGAGAACAGGACTCAAGAAATGGCTTAAATATATCTCGTTGCTTCAATTCTTCCATCTATAAAATGAGCTGTAAAAATGGTGTCAGTTCATAGGAGGATATGAAAATAGAGCTGCTAATAATTTTGCAGTACTGCACAGCTGTACTGACAAGTAAATACTATATAAAAGAACTAATTACTCAGTTATCAGAATAGGGTCTGAATAGCACTAGTGAGATTTTGCAGACAGCAGATTTCACAGTGCAAACAAGAAAAATTGAGCAAGTCTCATTTAGCAAGCATCATTTGTCCCATGTGGTGATTGATCTGGGCCGGGTGAAGAAAACAGGTGCTTGTTGAGTTACATTGTATAGCAATATATTATTGAAAGTGTAACCCTCTGTTTTGTCACTCTGTCCAACTTCTGCCATGAACAAAGAGATTGCGCAAGCAGTTTGTACACAAATTATTTATTGCCTGTTGCACACCCTAATGGAGTGCTAGAACTAACAAGCTACTAAGTTTGATGTGCTTACCGCCCCCAGCAAAACACTTGAGTCTGTTTTTGGAGGAGGAAGGGTCGGCCTCTGTTGCTCCTTGGAACGGGCTGGATGACACTAAGTTGCTGTCTTCCAGCTCTCTTCGTTTTCCTTAGTTTTATACCTTTTCATGACAGTCTTTTTCCTCTTGAATTCTTGAGCTCTTAACTCTCCCTGTGTCTGCAATCTTACCAATGCCTGCAGTTGTACTTTTTGTTTTGTGCATGGTTCTGGTCTATGTACTTTCATAGCTGTTTCTGAGATATTATTGATTTCTCAGAAATCTGAGCCTAGGGCTACACAGAGGGACTGAATCGATGCTAAGCCTTGCATTACAGCTGAACCCCTAGGAGGGAGTTAATAAAGGAGTCTCTGTAGCTGCATAGAGGATCTTGAAGTCTTGTATTACCTGGCTCTGGAGCACCTTACCTGGCAACTTTTAATTTTCTTCAAGAAGGCTTTGTGGTATAATAAATTATATAGTATATTCCACTGGAATATATACTAAAGCTCTTAATTTTAACATGTTTCATGTTAAGTATTTTGTGACAGAAATTGCTCTTCTGAAAATGTATTCTGAATATTAGTAAAGCTGAAGTATATATTTATAGTTTCCCTTAAAAAAAGAAAAAAGTTTCTTACAAATACATATACAACATAGGCTCATGTAAGAGAAATATAATTCATCCAACAGAGTTGTTTTCAGAATTTGGCTATTACTCCACAGAGATCAAATGAAAACAGAGGTCCTATTTGATTCTTTCCATATAGTTGAACTTAAAGACTAATCGTTGATTTCTTTTGGTTCTACATAAATTTTATAGATATCGTGTGGGGCTTTTTTTCATTTATTCTAACAGCCTGAAAAACTGCCCAAAGCTCAGACTGGTTTTTAAGCTTTACTATTTTCTGTAGAGATTATGTGTAGGAGATACATGGGTAAAGGCTGAAGGATAAGCATATTATCAGTTTAATTTTAAAAAAAGGTGAAAACTGCATTCTGTTAACTCAGATTTGAAAAACTGTGAAAGTAGATAGTTTTAATGATTTTGATAATTAAGTACGAAGTGAAACTAGTAATTGAGAATAAAGTCCTGTTTGTCTTTATTTCGTGATTAATCAAGCATGTTAGATTAGAAAATGAACTGAAAAAATAAGGCATCCATTGTAAAATAGGTTCGAAGGAGGAAGGAGATAAAACCAGCCTCACTAGAGATGAGCCTGGGGGGGCATGCCAATGCCGGGGGTGAAATGGATAGCCCAGCTCAAGTGCATCTACACCAATGCACGCAGCATGGGCGGCAAACAGGAGGAGCTGGAAGCCATTGTGCAGTGGGAGAGGTATGACTTAGTCGCCATCACAGAAACGTGGTGGGGTGACTCTCA